TCCACATCAGCACTCAGGACCTACCTTACTTTTCTAGATAGCTGCATTGTATTTTATTGCAATGGTTACACCATCATTTATTTAGCCAGTTCTATAAAGATGGACAAACAGTTAAATCCTTTTTCATTCTAAAGCAATACAAAAAAATCTTTGCACATGTTGCTTTGAACACTGAAGAAAATACATCTGTAAAATAAATTTCTTGAAGTACACCATCTGTGTGAGGCATATCAATTTATATTCCTACTGTGTGGATGAGCTTGTCTTCCCATGTACCGACGGAGAAAATAGCCAATTTCTTATGACTGACAAATGGACTGTCACGTGGACTGGCTGTCTTCTATCTAACCCCTCCAGACTCACCCTGCACTCTTCCTTACCCCAGGATGACAACCACAGGCTCTGCCTGTAGCTTCCTGTCTGCCAACTTTAGGAGGGAACACCAGCAGAGAGAGGATTGGATAATGAGGTGGACTGACCACTCAGCAGACCTGTGTGATGGCTCTGACCCTTAAGGAAAGGTCACAGCTGCTCAGGGAGCCTTCTTTGTCTCTGGGTCCCAGCCACTGCTTTCTTTCCCTGATCTTTTAGACATAGAGACGGTGGTCTATCTTGCTGGGCCTGGTCCTGCCCTCTTTGTTTTTTTACACCTATCCCATCTTTGAAAAGGGCAATGTCTTTACTAAGCACTCTTCGAAGTACCCAGTTTTCGTTTTCTGGTTCCTAAGCTTTCCTGAGCTATGTATGACCACTCTTCTAACTCCCCTGTGGTCTAGTTACTCCAAATTCCGTTGTTTCTCTAAATGGTTGGGAGACCAGATGCAATTATTTTCTGCTTGAGGATAGCAGAAAGTGATAATTCATTCAGCATATAACAATGTACTGCGTGCCCATTATGTGCTAGACATTGTCTTGCTATAGGCTCTGAAGAGATGGGCAAGGTTCCTGAGGTCAGGGGTGTGGTTAGGGTGTGTGTTGAATGTGTTTCTGGTTCCCATGTTCATTTGTATATGCATGTGGAGGGCAGGGGTTGACATTAGGTAAGTTCAATCGCTCTCCACATTTAAAAAATTATTAATTTTACACATATGAGTGTGGTGGTATTGTGTTCCCCAAAATATTGTGCACACTAATAAACTTATCTGGGGTCAGAGACAGAATAGCCACAATATTAAACATAGAGGATAGACAGTGGTAGCACACACCTTTAATCCTAGCATTCCAGAGGCAGAAATCCATGTGTTCAAGGATACAGCTAGGCATGGTGACACAGGCCTTTAGTCTTCAGAAAGTGAGCCTTTAATCCCAGGGAGTGGTGGTAGAAAGCAGAAAGGTATATAAGGCATGAGGACCAGAAACTAGAAGCATTTGGCTGGTTAAGCATTCAGGCTTCTAGCAGTTCAGCTGAGATTCATTTGGATATGAGGACACAGAGGCTTCCAGTCTGAGGAAACAGGATCAGCTGGGGAACTGGTGAGGTGAGGTGGCTGTGGCCTGTTCTGTCTCTCTGATCTTCCAGCACTCATCCCAACACCTGGCTCAGGTTTCATTTTATTAATAAGAACTTTTAAGATTCCTGCTACATATGGGTATTTTGTCTACATGTATATCTATGCACCATGTGTGTGCTCAGTGCCTGTAAAGGTCAGAAGAAAGTTGGATCCCCTGGAACTAGAGTTACAGACAGTTGTGAGCTACCATGTAGGTGCTGGGAATTGAACCTTGGTCCTCTGAGAAAGCAGTCAGTACTCTGAACTCCTGAGGCATCTCTTATTTATTACTCCTGAGCCAACCTTATTTATTTGTTTGTTTGTTTGTTTATTTTTGAAGCAGGGTCTCTCACTTAATCTGAAACTGAACCAATTGGATAGACCAGCTGGCCAGTGAGTCCCTGACTCCACTGTCTTCACTTCCCAGTGCTAGGACTACAGGGCTATACTGCTAAGTCTGACTTACATGCTTGCTGGGTACCAACCTCAAGGCCTCATGCTCATGCAGTAAGCATTGTGCTGACTGAGCCATCTCCCCAGCCTGCTTTTCACCTCTTGAGATGTGTTTGTTCATTTCATTTGCCCATTTATTGATCGAATCATTAGTTTCTTTGTCTGTTTTTCAATACATCTTTCCAGATTCTAGCTATTAAGCGCCTATCCAATGTGTAGTAGGCAAAGATTTTCTTCTGTTCTCTAGGCTGTCTCTTCAGGCACGTGCTTGTTTTCAAGCTCGTGAAACCCCACTGATCAGTTATTACTATTATTTCCTAAACTGTTAGAGCTCTCTTTGGGAAGCCCCTGGCTGTGCCTGTATCTTGAAGCGCCTTCTTCCTCTGGCAGCTGCAGTTTCAGGCCTTACCTTAAGGTCTTTAGCACATCTTGAACTTATTTTATACAGGTGAGGGATAGGGATATAGCTTCACTGTTCTACACGTGGTTATCATTTTCCTAGACCCACTTGTTAAAGAGGCCGTCTTCTCTCCATCAATGCCGGGTTTGGGCCAGTCTGTCCAAAATGAGCTGGCTGCAGTTGTGTAGGTTTACTTTGGGGCACCCTATTCTGTTCCATTGGTCTATGTGCTTTTGTTCCAATACCATGCTATTTTTGTGGCTATGGTTCTGCGGTATAATTTAAAATTCAGTATTTTGATGCTGGGCAGTGGTGGTGCACTCCTTTAGTCCCATCACTCGGGAGGCAGAGGCAGGCGGATCTCTGTGAGTTCAAGGCCAGCCTGGGCTACAGAGCTAGTTCCAGGACAGGTAGGGCTGTTACACAGAAAAACCCTGTCTCAAAAAGCAAAAACAAACAAACAAACAAAAATAAAAACAAACAAAAACAAAACAAAACAAAACAAAAAAACTGAGTATTTTGATACTTTCAACATTGATGTTTTTTCCTCGGGATTGCTTTGGCTTTGTCAGGAAACTGGGGGTTGCTTCTTCCGGTTCTGTGAAGAATGTCTTTGGAATTTTGATGGGGACCGCACTGGAGGTGTAAAACATGTTCAGCAATACAGCCGCGTCATTCACAAGGTTAATTCTGCAACCGCACAAGCGAAAGAGGTCTTTCCAGTTTTAGTATCATTTTTCCATTTCTCTTCCATGTTTTTAAGTTTTCACTGTGAGACTGAAGGGATGACTCAGTGGGCAGGAGCGCCTTCTGTGAAAGCAAGCTGGCCCACATCAAACCTCCAGGACCCACGGAGCAGCTGGGGATGCTATCCAGGCCTGTAAGCTCAGTGTGGGTTGGCAGAGACATCAGGTGATGATCCACTAAGGCTGAGCTTCAGGCTCAGTGAGACAGCCTCCTCACACGCACACATGTGCACTCCCAACCCGCACGTGCGCACACATCATGCACCGAACACACAAACACATAAAAGATGGCATTTTCCTTCTGTAAGTTTCTCATATCACTAGTTTGTTTTATTCCTAGGTATTTTTTAATAAACATGTGATTGGCTTATCCAACAGGCGCTGACCCTTCTGCTTCGCTGTAAGATGTCTAAGTTTGTTCATACAACACACAGATACAGGGATGAATTATCATATGTAACCTAGTCATGAACGTCCTGTTCCAAATCGTCAGTGATACAGGCATGGGTATACAACCTAGTTTTGACTAAGATGTCATGGAAGAGAATTTGGGGGCAACATCATGAAGGGTTGTTTTCCCTGAGAAGTAGGAGTAAAGGGGAAATGCGTGTTTCCTCCTCCTCTCTCTCTCTGGACGCTCCCCGTCTAAACAGGAAGTCTGGAAAGACAGCGATCTCACAAACATGAGGTAGTAAGCCAGATACAAGACAACATGGGAAGACACAATGTGAAGGGACAGAAAAGATACCAATGACACCGTGGACTTTTAGAATCAACTGCAGGATGACTTACCCCCAGATCTCCCACTATACAAATAAGTAAAAACAAATGCAATGTGCTTCTAGAAGTGCATCACCATTATCTGGACTTTGTGTTTCTTGCAGTTGATAACAAATCAGCCCACACACTGGGAAATGGTCTTCAACTTACCAGGAAAAAAGAGGTCAAGATCATGTGGTTTCTCTTTGGCTAAGACATGAAATCCTGGTTTCCTTCTAAGTATTAAGTGATATTAACAGATACTCGATCAATACAATACAATAAACTTTTATCAAATGTAAAATAACATGTTGTGATGGTCAATGTTAGGTGTAAACAATGTGTTAAGGGATGCCTAGATAACAGGTAGATCATTATTTATGGGAATGTCTAGGGCACGTATAAAGAGACTCACATTTAAATCAGTGGTTTTACTAAAGAAGATCTACCCTTATCAGGCACCATGTGATCTTTGCACGGTCTGAGTAGAATGGATAAAGGGAAGAATGCTTTTCTACACTGGAGTTTGGACAATCATCCCCTGCCCTGAGATATCAGAATCACAGGTTTTCAAGGGGTTAAATCTGGCCGGAGAATGGTGCTATTATTGTCTTCTCTGGTTCTTAGTTCTTTTCAGCTGAAAACAAATCATTATGCCAGCCCCTTAGTTCTCCAGTGTGCAGATTGGGACTTTGTGGTTTCCATAAACTATGAGCACCAACTACTATAACAAATGTCTCTGTGCCATTTTCTATTCTCTCTCTCTCTCTCTCTCTCTCTCTCTCTCTCTCTCTCTCTCTCTCTCTCTCTCTCTCTCTCTCTCTCTCTCTCTCTCTCTCTCTCTCTCTCTCTCTGTGTGTGTGTGTGTGTATCCTATTGGTTCTGCTTCTCTAGAGAACAGATTGCAATGTAATATTTAGAGCAATTACCATCTGAACCAGATTAAAATAAATTATTAACTCTTGACATATTATGGCTGAAATCTTCAAACGGTGAGAATTTTTCTGACCGTTTATGCAGGAAAGAACCGTTAACAGTAGTTCTAGGTATTGTTTCTGTCAGCTCCAGGCATGTCAGAGCCTTTACCAATTACATGCAGCTTCAGCCTTATTTCTCTGAAAAGAAGGCAATTTCCTTTTACAAGCATGGCTGTCCCGAATACCTTGGGTGCTGTTTTTAATCCTAGCTGGCACCAAGAGTCACAAAATGAGGTAGCTCATTTCAAATATTTTCCTCATGGCTGTTCTGTTTCCCCATTCAGGAAAAAGATTATTGGTTACCATGGTGATCAGCTTCCACAGCATTCCATTCTAAGTAACTACACAGGTGCAGTGTTACTCTACATTCTTTACTGTAGTCCCCTGAAGATCTGCATGGTTTCCCAGCCTGTTCTCTGTGACTGCTGCTTAAAATGTCCTACAAAACAAAGTGCAGCCAGGTAATTTTTTGAAAGGCACTATATCCCAGGAATGTTAAAAAATAATAGATTGCACATCAATTTCCTCTAAGTGTGGGATCATTAGGATCAATTCCTCTATCCTATTCAAGCCCTCAACAGCACCTGACTGGGAACCTTCTGGAATCTTCTTTTTTAAGCCTAAGATTGTATTTTATTTCTCTGACCATACTTGGAAAATCAGCAATGAGATTACAATAAAAATCAAAGCAGGGAGAATGCCAAGAGATTATTTTCCATGTTCTCAACATAGTTTTCCTAGGGTAACTCTTCAGTCTCTCTCCCTCTACAACTCACGAGCCATTCTATTTAAAGAAAAAAAAAAGTATGGATGCACTCAGATGAGTGAATCTGCCCTTGGAGAAGCCAAACACCTATTCTCCCACGCTTGAGGCTGTTTTATACTATTTTAATTGAGAGTCCTTTGAAAAGACTTTTCAACTACTCTATTTCTATTGAGAGCAAGACTGGTAATAATAATAAATATAATAATAATAATAATAATAATAATAATAATAATAATAAAAGATGGCTTTACACAAGGCAACACAAGTTAATGATGGCCTGGGTGTGCTAATTCATGGAGCATGTGGACTGAGACTTTTAGCATCCACTAGAAAAAAGTTTTTCTACTTTTTCATTCTGTTCTTATCATTACTGTTACTTAGTTTCTTAATTATCTGTCTTAAGTTAGTTTCTATTTTGGGGGAGCTATCTATGTATTATTTCTGCTTATGACTTCATTTGAAGTGGCAGTGGTATTTTGTGATCAAAAATAGGATACTCCAGCCGGACAGTGGTGGCGTACGCCTTTAATCCCAGCACTCGGGAGGCAGAGGCGGGCGGATCTCTGTGAGTTCAAGGACAGCCTGGGTTACAGAGTGTGTTACAGGAAAGGCACCAAAGCTACACAGAGAAACCCTGTCTCGGAAAAAAAAAAAAAAAAAAAGATACTCCGAAGGGAATTGCTATTACCTAATGTTAGTCAATTAGAAATAAATTCTGGCTTTAACTCCCTTTTCTGTGATTTTCTTTTCTAGCTCATGAATGACTTTTCATTAAAAGACACCCGTCTCATGACACATCTATGAACATCCCATTGGAGGCTACCATCTCCTGCTAAGGGCATGGAAGTAAACTCAGAAACTGAAACAGATGCCTTCGCCCACAGATTCTAAAATCAGAGGGTATTCATAAACCGCCCCACAAATTTGAGAGCATAGTGGGAAACAGGAACTGTTAAAAAAAACTGAAATGTTACTGAAGTACTTTCTTCCTCTTCCGGTGAGAGAAATTCATTCCTTTCTAAGAAGTTTGGTACTTTAAAAACAAACAAACAAACAAACAAAAAACAAAACAAAACAAAAACAAAACAAATTAGAATTGGAATTTATGGTATCACAGCCCATTTAGGGGAAAAGATATTTACTAATAGATGAAAAGCCCTATAATGGTTCTCTGACTCCTCTCAAAAGTGTATAGGAATTGTTTCAAGGTAGGGGAAGAAAGGCATTTATATTTCTGAGGCCATGTCTCAAATCACAATTCAAGGTTTTATTTACACCTTTGGCTATATACATTATATAACTCAACTATTTCCTGATATGTGAATCACACACAAATGGGAAAAAAAAAATCGGCCAACTATAGTTAGAATTTACTAGAATAAGAGGCTGCAATGATCACATACATTTTGAATAATTATATCACAGTGAACCATCAGATTTATGTACAAAAAGTTTGCTCCCTTTCAAGTGACAAGAGGCAGCTGAGAAGCAACCCTGCCCTTGTGAGGAGCAGAAACTGAGGAAGGGCTGGTATTCTAAAGGCACAGAAGCAGCTAATAGACTGTCTTGGGAGTTGGGTAAAAAATCAGTTTGGTAAAGAATACAAATGGGAGGAAGTTGTAATCATAAGCTTGAATGAAGTGTTTGAAATTAGCAAATTAAGAATTAATAACACAGAGAGAAAGACCCAGAAAGAGAAAATTAGTTCAGAAGGGAAGTGGTTTTAAAATTTTTTTATTTTTATTTTTATTTTTTGCTTTTTAGAGAGCAATAACAATTTGCATTTTAATTTGCAGGGATCAAAAGATGACATTATGTGAAGAATGGCAGTTTCATTGTTTTAGTATTTTATATTTAAGTAAAAATCTCAATTTGTCTGAAATTTAGCAGTTACTATTGGTATGATGATAACACATATTAGACAAACTGGCAAGCAGCTATTTGCTTTTCATTAGCCTCTCATTATAATGCTTAAAAAGCCAATAACCCTTAGTTACCACCCACGTGTGAGGATCGGAGCTGGGATCCCTAGCATCCACATAAGTGCTGAGTGGGATGGCATCCCACCTGTAATTCCAGCACTGGAAAGGCAGAGACCAGAGGCTCAGAGTAAGCTGGCTAGTTAGATTAGCCCTACTGATGAGTTCGGAGTTTAGCTGGGAAAGAGACCCTCACTCAAGCAATAGGTTGGGCAGCAATCAAGAAAGACTCCTGACATTAAACCTCTGTCCTCCTCTCGTCATGCACATATATTCCAGCACACGCATGCATGCACACACACACACACATGTATGCACACACACACACACATGCATGCACACACACACACACATGCATGCACACACACACACATGCATGCACACACATAACAAATATATAATTGTGAGAAAAAAAACCTCTCAGCGTTTTTAATATTTCAAATTCAGAGCAAGATCATAATTTCATAATGTGAAGATAAATGACCAGGCAGTCTGATCAGTTGCAAATTGGTCCTAACAGTTTTTGCTGGTGTCCTTCAATCTTGGGTTCCAAACTCAAGCAAGAAAATGTCAATGCAAAAAATAAAAAAATAAAAAAAGGCAAATTCGCTGTTCCCCAATTCAGAATCATGTGTTAACATTAAAAACCACATGAAGCAGGCAAGCACGTGATATTCCTGTAATTGTATTGCTGAAGGGGGTTAGGGTCTAAATAATCACAACAAAAACCACTAGTCCTGGCAGTCTATAGGATTTTAACTTCTTTTGAACTGCATTGGTATTGATTTATTATTTTTCTGAGGACAACTTCATGGTTTGGTAATACCATTATGTCCTGGATTTTCCAGGTCACTTCAGGTGTTGAATATTCTGTTTAGTGTCAAATGACTTTAGCTTGTAAAACATGATCACTGAATTTATAGAGTTACTGCCTTTAGCAGTATGCAGTAATTCTATTTCTGGACCACGATTGTCAAGTTAAATCAAATAAAAGTTAAGTCCAGCCTGTGAATCTATCTAGTAAAAGGCTATCTTAGGATAATGAGACCACTTTAAAACTTTATGATTTTAAAAACATGATTTGCATGTATATAGCTATAAAATTATGGGTGGCTAATCATTCTTGCCATATAGAAAATGAAAATGTGCTTGAGAGTTATTGTGCTTATAAGACTCAAAAAAGTAACCCTAATGTATGTTTGTGTTAATTAAAAAGGATTGGGTGAACAGACCTTTGTTTCCAGAGTGTAATTGATATTCTTGGTAAGTCAGAACTGAAGGGATTCACTGGCATTTGCGATGCTGCAGATCGATAATTACCTGAGAGATCTAAGTTTTACTTTAATGAATTTGATTCATTATGCTATGCAGAACCATGGCTATGTCGCGAACGGCAACATTTAAGTATTTGGGAACCCCCTCCGCTTTAATTACTATCCTTTGTAACAGGAGGTTTGTTCTAACTCCACTTTTAAGTCCATGGCATCAGGAGGGGGTAGTTTAAAAGTTGCCTATGCTCAGAATGGTATTTCTGACTCCTAAAATGAACGGTGATGTCCCGCAAGTCTACCAGTAGCGATCACTCTCCCTCCCACGTTCCCCTGCAGGTTGGGATGTGAGCAGCCCCGGGGGATGCTGCTGCAAACCCAGTGGGAGAGGGAGACAGGACATTACCGGCGACACTTCGGCACGGTTGCTAAGAGTGATTCACTCGCGTTTGGCACATGTGTGCCAAGGGAAGCTCCTCCCGCCGCTTCCTTCTCCGAGCTCTCCTCCGTACCGTCTCGGGCGCTGTGGCCTTTCAGGAGAAGCGGGAGCAGGTGAGCACACGGCGGCTCGCCCAGCCCTCCTCCCCCACGGCGCCTTCCCTAATTTAGCAGTACTTCCGGCCGCGTGACATCATCCCCCGCACAGGGTGACGTGAGCGGAGGGTGACGTGGGTGCGGAGAGGAGCGCGCTGACGTTGCTATTTAAAGGTCCTCCTGCGGGGAGGATGGAGACACAGCGCGAGCACCCGGCGTGCGGAGCGGAGGAGGCCGCGGCGACCCAGAGCCAGCGCAGGAGCCGAG